GTACAAAGCAACAGTCCTAAGTTAGTTGGGTGAGCATCCCAATCAGTCAAGGAACTTTAAAAAATAGCCTTGGCTCAGGCACAGTGCTGAATAATTTCTCAGGTAGACCTTCTCCTGTGGTACCCTCTGGTGGCAACTTCCTGCAATGGCCAATCTTCATTTTATCCACAAAATTCCCTCTGAGATTCAAGTCAGTGGATCTGCCTTTTGATTGGGGGAACCACCAGCTCAGAAAATAAAGTCTAAACTCCTGTATGGTGGCTTCAGTCCTTCTCTCCAGCTTTTGTCCCATAACATCTTCTCTCCACCATCTCTCTTGATGTCCCTTCAGCCACACTAGACCACCTTATCCTTGACCATATTAATGCTCTACTTATGCTGTTTCTCTGCCTGGAGTGCTCCTCCCCACCATCTCTGTGGGATGAAACTTTCACATTGTTTAAGGTTCATTCAATACCTGTTCCTCTAGGAAATCTGCCCAAAGGGACTTTTTTTTTTTTTTTTTCTTGAGACAGAGTCTCACTTTTGTTGCCCTGGCTAGAGTGAGTGCCGTGGTGTCAGCCTAGCTCACAGCGACCTCAAACTCCTGGGCTCAAGCGATCCTCCTGCCTCAGCCTCCCAAGTAGCTGGGACTACAGGCATGCACCACCATGCCCGGCTAATTTTTTGTATATATATTTTTTAGTTGGTCAATTAATTTCTTCCTATTTTTAGTAGAGACAGGGTCTCGCTCAGGATGGTTTCGAACTCCCAACCTCAAGCAATCCGCCCGCCTCGGCCTCCCAGAGTGCTAGGATTACAGGCGTGAGCCACCGCGCCCGGCCTTGCCCAAAGGGACTTGATCTTTCTTTTCTCTGTGCTCTCACAGCATTCCATACTTCCTCAGGGAAGTCTTCCCAAATTATATGCTCTCATAGTTCCTGGTATTTTGTCTTTTATCACAGTATCTAACACACTTAATGGTTATATATTTATTTGTAAGACTTTTTAAAAAAAGTCTTTCTGTTTTACTCTACTGGAAGTACCTTGAAAGCAAGAGCCATATCTGTTACCATGTACAGTTGAAACATAATATACAAGCACGGTATTTGTTGACTGGGTGAATTAATATTTCTGAAATTATCATATACTCTGTAGTATGTGAAATTGTAATATACATTTGGATTCCCAATTAGGTAATAGGTTTTTTGAAGCGATAGATGATATTAATATTTCTTATGTCTTTGTACCACACCCCCACCTAGCTTTGTGCCTTGGCGACAGTGGGAGCTTAGATAAAATTGCCCCACTAGAACCCTAGGAGAATATAAACTACAGGACAGTGAGGACATTGCTTTCTTGGCTTTCTTGCCACTTTACTGTGGTTAAAACAGATGAATTGGTCATGACACTGATACAGGAAATATTTGTTGAATGAATGAATGAATTGCTAGATGGAGCGAGATCCCATCTCTACTAAAAATGGAAGGAAATTCCTGGAACAATAAAAAAAACTAATAATATGGTGGGCGTCGGTGGCTCACAGCCTGTAATCCTAGCACTCTGGGAGGCCAAGCGGGGGATTGCTCAAGGTCAGGAGTTCGAAGACCAGGCCTGAGCGAGAACGCCCGTCTTTACGTAAAAATAGAAAGAAATTAATTGCCACTAAAATATATTACATAGAAAAAATTAGCCGGGCCATGGTCGGTACACTGCCTGTTAGTCCTACTACTCGGGAGGCTGAGACAGGACGATACGTTGAGCCAGGAGTTTGAGTTGCCTCGTGAGCTGGCTGATGTCATGGCATCTAGCTGGGGCAACACAAGTTGAGACTCTGTCTCAAAATAAAAACAACAACAAACAACAAAACAAAAACAATCAATGTAATTCACTATAGTGACACACTAAAAAAAGAAAAATTCACGTCAACAGGAATGCCGAAAAGCATTTAACAAAATCCAATATCCAACTCTGGAGTCCAAATGTGATCATAGTTCACTGGAGCTTTGAATTCCTTGGGCTCAAAAGAAAAAAGAATTCCTTGGGCTCAAGTGATCCTCCTGCCATAGCCTCCCAAGTAGCTACGTTAGTAGAGCTAGCTCTACTAAAAAAATAAAAAATAGAAAGAACTTATGGGCTGGGACAACTACAAAAAATATATAGAGAAAAAATTAAGCCGGGCATGGTGGCAGAGTTGCCTGTAGTCCGCAGCTACTTGGGAGGGGCTGGGGCAGAAGGATTGGCTTGATCCGCAGGGGCTGTTTGAGTTGCTGTGAGCTAGGCTGATGGCCATGGCAGCTCTAACCTGGGCAACAGAGTGAGATTCTGTCTCAAAAAAAAAAACAAAAAAAATTCATTCCTTTTCATAGCTGAATAATATTCCATTGTGTGCATATACCACATTGTTTATCCATTCATCTGTTGGTGGACACTTGGGCTGTTTCTACATTTTGGCTAATGTGAATAATGCTGCTGTGAATATTGGTAAACACATATCTGTTTGAGTGCCTATTTTAAATTCTTTTAGTAGACACCTAGGAGCGGAATTGCTGGGTCATATGGTAGGGTAGTTCTGTGTTTAACTTTTTAGGGAACTATCAAACTGTTTCCCACACCAGATGCACCATTGTAGATTCCCACCAGCAATGTACAAATGTTCTAATTTCTCCCTATCCTCTCTAACACCTAATATTTTCATTCTTAAAAAATTATAGCCATCATAATAGGTGTGAAGGGTTTTAATTTACATTTTCCTAATGACTAAGGATATTGAACATCCATCCTTTCATGTGTCTATTGGCCATTTGTGTAATATATCTTTATAGAAATGTCTATTCAAGTCTTTTGCCCATTTTTATTTTTTAATTTTTTTAATTTTTTACTTTTTGTAGAGATGGGATCTTGCTACGTTGCTCAGGCTGGTTCCAAACTTCTGACCTCAATCAATCCTCCTACCTGGGCCTCTTAAAGTGCTGGGATTCAGGTGTGAGCCACCACACTTGGCTAATGATTTCATTTCATAAAAATTGTTTTGAAAGTTTACTCCTTTTTCTACGACTCAGAACATTTCAGTAGAATTAAGATCGTATTCAGAGCCAGGTTGCACCTGTAGTCCCAACAACTTGGCAGGCTAAAGCAGGAGGATCACTTGAGGCCAGGGGTTTGAAGCTGCAGTGTGCTATGATGATGGATGTGAATAGCCACTGCACTCTAGCCTGGGCAACACAGCAAGAGCTCATCTCTAACTTAAAAAAAGAGAAAAAAAAAAAAAAGATTATATTGAGGAAAACTATTTTTGCAATAGTTTGAGTTGTAAGCTGAACTAATCAGTTTTTTTCCTGGAACACCATTTTTACTTGAAAGAACAACTAACTATAAAGAACAACTAATATGAACTAGTCCTATTCAGACTTAGGTATTTGGTAGACATTTTTTCCAAAATAAACGAAATGAGCTTGTCACTTCAAGAGAAACCAGTGATAGTATCTGTTGCCAATGATAAAATTCTTGTTTTCAGATGAAAATTAGAATTTGGAAAACTTGTATCTGACCTTGACAGCTTCCCAAGACTCAAAGACTTATCTGATATCTGATAAGATAGGTAGTGATATTAACAAAAATGATTTTTTTATATTGTATATTGAAGTGTGTCAATATTTAATATTGTATAATGAAATGCATCAGTGCGTCTAACTCAGTGAACCAATATTTTTCAAATGACCAGTTTGGTCTACATGTATGTTATGAAATCATGCTGAAGTCCTTTTTTTTTTTGTAATAAATTCTTAATTCACTTTTTAATTTTTTTTTCTCTTTATCAAAGTTTTGTAAAGTTTGATTGAAAACCGCTCCATTTAAAGTTGCAGCGGCAGGCGTGGTGGGGTCACGCTGTACTGCTGCTCTTGGGGCCATGCAGGGGCTTGCTCAGTCGGGTTCTGAAACAGCCTGGAGCGGACCTTCTACTATCACTAGAGTGTTTTTGGCTAACTATAATATGATTAAGGCATGGTGGCATGCTGTAGTCAGCTATCAGGGGTGAGCCGGGGATTGCTTGGCAGGGTTTGGGTGTGCTGTGGCTTGGCTGATGCAGCCTCACTCTAGCTGGCGAAGTGACGTCTGTCTCAAAAAAAAAACAAGAACTCGTCTAGCTCGTTGGTGTGGTGGGCGTGCTGAGTCCCGTATTGGGCTGACGCAGGAGTTTGCTTGAACTGAGGAGTTTGAGGTTGTGTGGTAGGTGCACAAAGCGCACTCCTACCCGGGTGACAGAGGTGAGATTCTCTCAAAACAAACAACAACAAGAACTTTTTCTTTAGCTCCCCTTATAGCCCTTATTTCCTTAACTGTGCTTCCCCCCCCACTTTTTTTCTTTTTTCTTTTTTTTATTTTTAGACAGAGTTCTGGCTCTGTTGCCAGGCTAGATGCAGTCCCGTGGCGTCAGCCTGGTAAGCCACTCAAATCCTGGGTCAAGCAATCATCCTGCCTTAGCTCGGTAGCTTGGGGACTAGGCATGCTCACAATGCCCCGCTAATTTTTGTAATGATGTTCAGTTGAGCAGATTAATTTCTTCCTATTTATAGTAGAGACAGGGTCTCGTCTCGCTCTTGCTCAGGCTGGTTTCGAACTCTGACATCCAGCAATCCTCCCGCCTCGGCCTCCATGAGTGCTAGGATTATAGGCGTGAGCCACCACGCTCAGCCCCCCACCCCACTTTTTATTTCTGAAAAACGTTTAAAATCTTTTTCTCGAATTTTTTGTTAGTTATTTAATATCCACCTGTTCCCTATCCATATCATTTTTGACTTTTCTATTTGTGATTTATGCTGTTCTTTCAGAGCATCCATTATATTCTTCACTTTATTTTAGACTATTAGGTTAAAGTTTCTGTCTACTTTGTGACCACATTTTCTAGTGTGTTGTCACTGTTTATTGGAACACTATTAGGTTTATTTTCGCCTTTTTGTTTCCACAGTATCATGTACAGAATTAAATCATAGTCCTTATTTGTCCCCAATCTTTAAATGAGATGAATTTTCCTGGACGGACAGGAACAGGCTCCGTCGTCTTTTGCAGACCACCGCCTGCCGGGTCCTTGCCCTTCAACGCCTGCGCGAGTCCGGCTCACTGCTCGCCCCTGTGCGCGAGCGGACGCGCGAACGCCCCGGGGCCACGCCCACTCGTAGCACACCGCTCAGGCCCCGCCCACGGCTCGCATACACCGCCGCTGGCCACGCCCAGCCTCCTGCCTCTCCCTTGTGCCAGGCCAGCTATTTGTTTTCCCGCCATTTCCAGCTCTTCGTGAGGAGAACTGAATGATTTCGGTAAGAGATCGGAGGCCTTCTAGGATCACAGCAGCCAAGCAGGTAAGGAAGGTAGGTAGAAAAGGAACTGGGAAATTTGAGCCTGCTGAATTCCCATCACCCTAGGAAAGCAGGTGAGTTTTGCCCTCAGGGGGTCGTCTTAGCTAACCCTGTTAACCGCCTTTCTTATGTGGGGTTCATCTGGCCAACTCAGGTGGTTAAATTGTTGTTGCTGCCCTTAAACCGGGGCAAATATGGTGGGGTCTTTTCAGTAAGTAGTTCTTAGATTCACTTCCTGATTGAAGGTAGTGCATCGTGAGCAACAAATAGGATTCTGAAGCTCATGGCCTGTGGGATGTTTGCGTTGAACTGTTTATTCAGTAAACTTTGATAGTAACTCTTGTCTTGTGTGACAAAAAATGTTCCAGTGTGATGCAAACTACCCTTCATTCATTTAACCTCTAGATAAAACACTTAACAACTATTTTTAAAGGAGAAGACTTTAGTGGGGGGGAAAATACCTTCTGTTGGCAAGTGGCATTGTCACAAAAACAAAACAAAACAAAAAAAAGAAAAAAATTACCTTCTGGCAGGAGCGGTGGCTCACGCCTGTAATCCTAGCTCTCTGGGAGGCCGAGAAGGGAGGATCGCTCAAGGTCAGGAGTTTCAGACCAGCCTGAGCAAAGAGCGAGACCCCCTCTCTACTAAAAATATAAAGAAATTAATTGGCCAGTTAAAAATATATAGAAAAAATGAGCCAGGCATGGTGGCACATGCCTGTAGTCCCAGCTACCCGGGAGGCTGAGGCAGAGGGATTGCTTGAGCCCTGGAATTTGAGGTTGCTGTGAGCTAGGCTGACACCATGGTACTCTATAGCCTGGGCAACAGAGTGAGACTCTGTCTCCAAAAAAAAAAAAAAAATTACCTTCTGTTTTGATTATTTTCCCAAGTTAATTTTAAGGTAAATCAAACCAATGAATACTATATTCTTAAATAAAATATTCATTAAATTAAACATGATTTCATTAAACATATGAGCTAATTATAGCTCAGTTCTGTAGTTTTTGCTTTTTTTGGTAGAGACAGGGTCTTGCTATGTTGCCCAGACTAGTCTCGAACTCCTAGTGTCAAGCGATCCTCCCACCTCAGGCTCTCAAAGTGCTAGGATTATAGGCATGAGCCACCACACTTGGCTCAGTTCTGTATTTTTGATATGTCAATTTCCTCATTTAAAAATCCTACAAAATCACATTTACTTAGTTATATATTTAACAAATTTTATGAAATGGTATTGGCAGAAAATACAGACTGTGTGGTTACTATGCCTAACACAAAGGCTATTTAATGTGGGAGCAAGAACTTTACACAGAAAATCAGAAGACTTGGGTTCTAATCCCAGAGCTACCACAAACTAAAGATAAAACTTTGGACAAGTCATTTAATTTCACTGAACATCAGGTATATCTTTTGAAAAATAGTGGAATTGTAATCCTAGCACTCTGGGAAGCTGAGGCAGGCAGATCGTTATGAGCTCAGGAGTTCGAGACCAGTCTGAGCAAGAGCGAGACCCCATCTCTACCAAAAATAGAAAAAATTAGATGGGCATCATGGCGCATGCCTGTAGTCCCAGCTACTCGGAAGGCTGAGACAGAAGGATCGCTTGAGCCCAGGAGTTTGAGGTTGCTGTGAGCTAGGCTGACCCCACGGCACAGCACTCTAGCCCAGGCAACAGAGTGAGACTCTGTCTCAAAAAAAATAAATAAATAGTGGAATTGGACAAAACATTAAATGATTTTCAAGTCCCCTTTCGTTTCTATGATTCTGAGTTTCTGTAGAATAGAAGGAAGGAGTACAACTAACAGAGATCATACAGTTATTTAACCTGGTTTCTCTTAAATAAAATGTGTCCCAAGCAGCTAATAGGTGATCTTCTCTATCTGGTACACTGCCTCTTCTTGGCTCCACTTCTGCCAATCACAGGAAACTGTTAAGAAAGAAATGGATGGGTTGTTTTTCATTTTTGAGGATTGTATTTTCTAATTACAAATTAGTACAGGAATTAATCCAGAAAAATTGGAAAATAAAATGTAAAGGCAAAATATATATACACACACACAAAAATACTCATCACCTCACCACTCAAAAAAAAATCTCACCACTGTCCTCCTATTACTTTTACCAATGTGTGTGTGTGTATGTGTATAAATAATAGTATAACAGTCTGAAGTCTGCTTTTTTTCACTTTATAGGTACTTGTACTTCCTTACAACCAATTGGATTACCCACAAAGATGTGCCCACATCCCAATAAGCTATCAGAAGCTAAGCAAACATTGTTACATAGATTTTGGAACAACTGTAATTATATTATGCCCCAGGTTATTCTTATTCTTTTTTTTTTTTTTGAGACAGAGTCTCCTTTGTTGTCCAGGGCTAGAGTGAGTGCCGTGGCTCAGCCTAGCTCACAGCAACCTCAAACTCCGGCTCGAGTGATCCTCTGCCTCTAGCCTCCCGAGTAGCTGGGATACAGGCATGCGCCACCATGCCGGCTAATTTTATATAGTATATATCAGTTGGCCAATTAATTTCTTCTATTTATAGTAGAGACGGGGTCTCGCTCTTGCTCAGGCTGGTTTTGAACTCCTGACTTGAGAATCCGCCCCGCTGCTCCCAAGAGCTAGGATTACAGGCGTGAGCCACAGCGCCCGGCCTTATTCTTTTTTTCTTTATCTTCTCCAGAATGGATTGGTTTCACTGCAACCAGTGTTTCCGAAAAGATGGGGCCCATTTCTTTGTCACCAACTGTGGGCATATTTTCTGTAAAAAGTGTGTGACTCTGGGTAAGTGACTTAACTGTTTTCAAATTCAGGCAAAAATGTTTCTACCTAGATATAATAATTAGCCATTTCTCTGTGTGACTTAGGGTAAAAATCACTTAGTAGGCCAATGGTGGTGTGGATACTGTGGGAAACTGTTGATTTTGGAAATTGGAGGGATCCATTAATAAAGAATAGTGCACATTTGGGAGGCCGAGACGGGCGGATTGCTCAAGGTCAGGAGTTCGAAACCAGCCTGAGCGAGACCCCGTCTCTACCAAAAATAGAAAGAAATTAATTGACCAACTAAAAATATATATACAAAAAAAAATTAGCCGGGCATGGTGGCACATGCCTGTAGTCCCAGCTACTCGGGAGGCTGAGGCAGAAGGATCGCTGAGCCCCGGAGATTGAGGTTGCTGTGAGCCAGGCTGACGCCACGGCACTCACTCTAGCCTGGGCAACAAAGTGAGACTCTGTCTCAAAAAAAAAAAAAAAAAAAAAGAATAGTGCAAAATGATTTAGCAAATTTATTACTTGAGCACCAAAAGGTACTTGTTAGTATTTTGAAGTCTTAGGCAGGGAAAGTAACAAGGAATCAGACTAATCAGGGAAAAGTGATAGAATAAGAATAATGGACAGCAAAGTTGGCTGCTGTCAAGAACTATTTCTAAAGGGAAGTGGTCTAGCCTATGAAATCAGTTTGATTAGAAATGATGATGATACCTTTGCAGTTAAAAAAGCATTTTCAGGTGTACCAATTTTATGTAATCCTCATCACAATCTCAGGTGGTAATTATTAGTAGAACCATTTTACAAATGGGGAAACTGGCTCAGAGAGGTTTAGTGATTTGACCAAGTTCCTACAGCTATTAAGTCTTAAAAGGAGACTTGAATTTAAGGGTTTTTTTTAAAGGCTAAAATAAATACATAGTGTGCGAATGCCCAGAAGAGAGACTTAGGGTAGGGTGCTTTGATCAGGGAAGACTTCACAAAAGAGGTGCTGCTTCGGCCAGGCGAGGTGGCTCACACCTGTAATCCTAGCACTGAGAGGCTGAGGCGGGCGGATCAGATCGCTCAAAGTCAGGAGTTTGAAACCTGCCTGAGCAAGATCCGTCTCTACTATAAATAGAAAGAAATTGGCCGGGGCCACAGTGGCTCACGCCTGTAATCCTAGCACTCTGAGAGGCCGAGGCGGGCAGATGGCTCGAGGTCAGGAGTTCGAAACCAGCCTGAGCAAGAGCGAGACCCGTTTCTACTATAAATAGAAAGAAATTAATTGCATCTCTACCAAAAATAGAAAAAATTAGATGGGCATAGGGGCGGCCATGCCTGTAGTCCAGCTGCTTGGGAGCCTGAGGCAGTAGGATTGCTTGAGCCCAGGAGTTTGAGGTTGCTGTGAGCTAGGCTGACGCCACGACACTCACTGTAGCCTGGGCGACAAAGGGAGACTCTATCTCAAAAAAAAAAAGAAAAGAAATTAATTGGCCAACTAAAAATATATATATAAAAAAATTAGGCTGGGCATGGTGGCACATGCCTGTAATCCTAGCACTCTGGGAGGCGGAAGCAGGCGGATTGCTCAAGGTCAGGAGTTCAAAACCAGCCTGAGCGAGACCCTGTCTCTACTAAAAATAGAAAGAAATTAATTGACCAACTAAAAATATACATACAAAAAATTAGCTGGGTATGGTGGTACATGTCTGTAGTCCCAGCTACTTGGGAGGCTGAGGCAGTAGGATCGCTTGAGCCCAGGGGATTGAGGTTGTTGTGAGCTAGGCTGATGCCACGGCACTCGCTCTAGCCTGGGCAACAAAGTGAGACTGTCTCTAAAAAAATAAGTAAATAAATAAAAATTAGCCAGGCATGGTGGCGCATGCCTGTAGTCCCAGCTACTCAGGAGACTAAGGCAGAAGGATTGCTTGAGCCCAGGAGTTTGAGGTTGCTGTGAGCTAGGCTGACACCATGGTACTCTCTAGCCTGGGCAACAGAGTGAGACTCTGTCTCAAAAAAAAAAAATTAAAACACCGAAAAGAATGCTGCTTCAATAGGGGTTTGAATATAAACTGAGTTTGCCAGGTGGATCGACAGGGAAGATCATTTAATTAAGAACACAGCATGTCTAAAGACATATTAACCTAAGTATATGCAGGGACTACACATAGTTGGATGGTATAGTATAAGAGCAAGGTAAGAAAATGGTGAGAGATGAGGATAGTGAAGTAGGCAGTGCTAGATGATGGAAGGCTCTAATACCAGGTTAAAGAACTTTATCTTCAGGTGATTGGAGAGCTGTGGAATTTGTTTGTCTTCTTCTGAAACAGAAGAATGATTTGCACTTGCTAGCTCACCTGGCAACAGTATGGACCAAGAACACTTTTCACGGCCCAGAAAAGAACAGTCAGGTTATAGCCCCTGGAGAAGCTTTTTTCTTGTACAATCATGACCACTTAATTATCTGCTAATGTAACAAACCTGTTTACAATGTAATAGCTCACTTTGGAGTGGTTCCGTCTTTTTTTTTTTTTTTTTCTGAAGACAGAGTCTGCTGTTGCCCAGGCTAGATGAGGCCGTGGCGTCAGCCTAGCTCACAGCAACCTCAAACGCCTGGGCTCACGTC